GCTATACAATTCCTAAAGGATGGAAAGTATTGGTTTGGTTTAGAACTTGTCACTTGGATCCTGAAACCTGGCCAGAACCTTTGAAGTTCAATCCTTCGAGATGGGATGTAAGTTACAAACACAAACTCGTTCGTTTTCTTTTTTTACCTTCATTGCCAAATATGTGCAAACAAAATCTGTTGATCAACACTGAAGTTATATATTCTATAGGGATTTATCCCTAGACTAGGAACTTTTCTTCCCTTTGGTGCTGGGAGCAGGCTGTGTCCCGGAAATGATCTCGCCAAGTTAGAGATATCGATTTTTCTTCACTATTTTCTCCTCAATTACAGGTATTAGATTATGAAGATTGTTAAGTTTTTGAATTATTTTCATGCACAACGTTTGATTTTTACAGTAAGACCATGTTCTGCAGGCTGGACGTAGTAAATCCTGACTGCACCGTGCAGTACTTACCACATAAAAGACCGAAAGATAACTGCTTGGCGAAAGTCAGAAGGATCTAAGCAGGGATCAGTAGCATAAACATGACAGTTTGAGACCCCCTACTTACATTAATCACATATTTTAACAAACAATTAAGTGAATTTGTGAGAACAAATATATTCTGGTAGATCTTGTGTTCTGTAATCTGATTATGAAGCAAGGTCTACTCCAACTAAAAATAGTCCGAGTACTATTTTAGTCAGAGTATTACATTCTTTGCTTGTGTACTTTTGCTCAGGCTGATAATATGGCTTATATGGTGTATACTATATGAGGCTTAGAACTAGGAATGTCAATGTGACAAGTTGGATTATCTGTCCATTTCTTCTTCAATAATGCAGTTACTAACTTACTATGCGTGAAAAAGTTGAATGGAATAAAGTACTCTCTTTGTTCGTGTATAATTAAGGATATGACATGATTTTACAAAAGGACCTGATAAAGCTGTACAACGGAATACTCCATAGCAATTAAGCTGTGATACTCTATAAGCATAAATAGTTCTCTACTGCTCCATCCTCAAAAGAAGATTCATTTAAATGTTTTGAGTGCACATACTAATTTACTCAACGACTATAATACTAATTGGGGGGTTATACTAAACAATGTTGCTACTGTAGAGTATAGGCTGACATGAGTGACATCGGAGGCTACAGCTAGCCTCCCCTACAGGCTACAGCCATCACCAGTCCGAGCCCCCTATAGCCCGAGCCCCACCCACCCATATCGTGTTGGACACAGGCTCGGGTACGCGTCAAAGACAGTAGACTAACAAAAACAATTGTTGTTCACTTAAATAACATATTAACGTAGAAAATTAATAATCTCCCTCAATATTAAGGTTATGTTCAGTTTGGCCTATCTAAACAAGTACGATGTATATGCTTAATCCAGAAAATATTAGATCAGATTAAATCAGATTATATATTTTTATTTGCGTAAACTTATCATTAAATATCTTTAGTTTCTTAGTCTTAATAAATCTGTAATTTTTTTGTTTGAAACACATTAATACGAATTCAATGACATCTTTGGGGGTGATACAACATGTGATTGAATCCATCCAAAAAATACAGTAGGAATGTCGTGGTTCCTAGATATCCAAAAAACTAATAGGACAGTTGGATGTCTGACTTGATATCTCTTTCATTTGTTTCCTTAAAATTTTAAATTGAAATCTACCCACTAATTAAAAATTTCAGTAATTAAGGAAAGAAATCAAAGATAGGATCAAGCTAATCCTTAGAAAATAAATCAAACATAAAGGGAAACAAATCAAGCTAATTAAATCTTTTCAAAAAAAAAAAAAAATATCAAGCTAATTAAATCATAAAACCAAGCAACCAATGAGGGAGCAACAAATAAACAAAAAGAGGATAGAAAAAGAAAAAAAGAAATTAAACAAAATCAGCATACCACTTAATCCTTGCTTCACCATCAATATAAACCCCTACACTATTTTCATTTACATTCACAAAAACTATATTCATTTCATCATTTCTCAAAGGTATATTTGTTTTAATATTGTAACCATTATTAATTTTTCATATTATAACTTGCAATATAGACGCTTACACCTTCTGTTCGAAACTAATTGTCATGTAATAGATTTATCATTTTGTGACAATTAGATCCGGATGGAGGGATCGGATTATATATTAAGCTTAACTATTAATTATATTTTTTTTGGGTTTGTGTAGGTGTTGAAAAAAGGTTATAGAAAGATGGACTTCAACTTTGTTTCGAAGTTGGCAATCTTCACTATGGGGTTATTATGGGTAATAAATTTGGTGCTAAGAAAAGTTCATGGTTGGATACATGAATCAAAACTTGGAAATAAAAGGTATAGTCTGCCACCAGGTGACTTTGGCTTGCCTATCATAGGCAACATGTGGTCTTTCCTGGCCGCTTTTAAGTCCTCTAATCCAGACTCCTTTCTCAACTCCTTCTTCACCAGGTTATCCCTTTATCTATTCTCTCGTCACTTTATTAAAGCAATTTATTACTTTTATTAGAATGATATCAATCGTGCCATATTAAATAAAAAAATTCATATCAACCTACGGTCAAATTTTCTTATTTGCGTATGCTTATGTCCACTCTTCATAATTTTGTGTTTAAAAAAAAAGTATTTTTTTGAAGACAAATGCGGGAAATTAATTTATTAAGTCTAGATCTGTCAAAGTTTGTAGACTTTGGGGGAAAGAGTTCGTACAAATAAATTCATCGCTAAAACCCGTATCCCATCTAGCTACTAAATGAGCTACCGTATTTCCCTGTATATGAACACAATGAAAAAAGTATTTGCACATGGTATATTTAATTTTAATAGAAAACCTATTTAAAATTGTTTTTTTTTTGTTGTTGTTGTTTAATAATTTTTTTAACGGGAAATAATAATCATTATATAATAGCCATACGACATCTACAATATTAAAGATATGTAAACCAAAAATCTAGAGAAAATACCATGACTTTTACAATCAAAATCATAACTAATTTGCATATTTGGCGTAGCTCATACTCCACCGCTTCAAGCTTGACGCGAGCAATGATTTTCGATGTCTCGACCTTCGCAATCTGAGCTGACGTTTTGATTGAAAAGTTGATGACAAGCCCCAAACCCATAGGATTCCAAATCACCTTCCCAATTATTATAAGAACCCTAAAAATAAAATTCTCATTCATGGATGAGAATCAAAAACCCAGAAAATTGGGAAAAATCTAGAAAATTGGGACAGACTCTCACAGATGGAGAGAACAAAACAAACCAAAATGTAAAACAAAGCAAAAAACTAAATTAAATAAAAGAAAAAGGATTGAAAATAGTCTAATTAGAATTCGAAATTAGACTATTTCCGGCCTAAACGGCCAAGAAAACTAAAATCCTAGAACAGAGAGGAGAGAGCGAAAAAGAAAAAGTGGGGCGAGAAGAGTGGTTTGTTGTTGTTTAATATTAGTCTTTGCAAATTGTACTTTATTAAAAAAAAAAAAAAAACGGTTTTACATGTATATCAAGTTTACGTTCATGATGGTAATAAGATAACCAGTGGGTTAGTTTGGCCCAATCCCCACCCGGGAAGCCTAATTAATAGCCCAATCAAGGCTTGCCTCAGGCCCGTCATTGATGAAGGCTGGTGGACTGGCGCACTTATGACTTTGATTTCGTATATATGGGCTCAAACCCACCTTAGATTCCTAGACCGAATTTGTTGATTTATTTATTATTTTTTTTAAAAGAAAAATACGTCAAGATTAAGAGATTGTTCTCTCTGGATTGAAATTTGCTCATTTAGTGATTAAATTGAAAATGTATGAACATTTTTACTTTACTTTAGTTTACTTGTACATTTAACATTTGATTATACATTTGGTTGTGCAGATTTGGCAAAACAGGAATTTACAAAGCATTCATGTTTGGGAGTCCAAGCATAATTGTTACAACACCTGAGATATGCAGGAAAGTCTTGAATGATGATGAGCATTTCAAGCCTGGCTGGCCGCTTTCAACAACAGAGTTGATCGGTAGAAAGTCCTTCATTGCTATCCCCTTCGAAGAGCACAAGCGTCTTAGAAAATTAACCGCCGCTCCTATCAATGGACATGAAGCACTATCAAACTACATAGAGTACATTGAAGATATCTCAATAACTACTTTGGATAAGTTGAGCACTATCAAACTTCGTGAGCTAACTTTTCGTATCATCATTTACATCTTTCTGAGTTCAGAAAGTGAGCCTATCTTGTAGGCTTTAGAAAAGGAGTACACAACGCTTAACCACGGTGTTAGAGCAATGGCCATTAATATCCCTGGATTTGCATACCATAGGGCACTTAAGGTATTAGATAATTTGTTTATGTTTTTAACATTTCAAATATGCTTGTTTTAGTCAATTCCTCCCAATCTAGTGTATTTGATTATGGATGAAAATTTTCATTAGGCTCGGAAAAACCTCGTGGCAGTGTTTCAAGCTACAATAGATGAACGAAGGGCGCTAAAGAGAGATGGTGTTGCTATCAAAGCCAAGAGAGATATAATGGATGATTTACTTGAAGTTGAAGATGAAAATGGGAGAAAATTGACTGATGAAGAAATTACAGATCTATTAATCATGTATTTAAATGCATGACATGAATCATCTGCTCATACCATTATGTGGGCTACTGTCTTATTACAGCAAAACCCTGAATATTTACAGAAAGCCAAGGTACTAAAACACTTCAGATCTTACATTTTATTTATGAGTAATTAGATATGAGTCAGTTTTGCCACGTCTATTCTTAACCACTTAAATAACAATCATAATTCTATGCTTTACCAAATCGCTTCAGGCAGAGCAAGAAGAGATTATAAAGAACAGACCAGCAGGACAGAAAGGACTAACTCTGAAAGAAACCAGAAAAATGACTTATTTGTCTCAGGTAAGTACTCATTCCTCCCGACATCCCACCCTATCTTTGAGCTTGCATTCTTAGCTAAACTAACCATTTCTTTTACAAAATCAAGGTCGTAGATGAAACGCTTAGGTGGGTGACATTCTCATTCGTAGTTTTTCGTGAGGCGATATCAGACTTCAAGATAAATGGTTAGTAAGAGATTCAAAACACATTTTTCTTGCACATTGTAAAAATATTTAAATCCTAACAAAAGAAAGTTTTACAGGCTATACTATTCCTAAAGGATGGAGAGTGTTGACATGGTTTAGGACTTGCCATTTAGATCCGGAAGTTTGGCCCGAGCCTATGAAGTTCAATCCCTCCAGATGGGATGTAAGTTAAATCAACACATACTCGCTCCATATCACACAAAAACTAAATACTACATATATGTTGTAGGACCTTGCTCCAAAAGCTGGGACTTTCCTTCCCTTTGGTGCTGGGAGCAGGCTGTGTCCTGGAAACGATCTCGCCAAACTCGAAATTTCAATCTTTCTCCATCATTTCCTCCTTAATTACAGGTAATTAGAATATCTTTATAGTTTTTTTTCACCTAAAATCATGCACTGGGCTTAATTTTGTGGCAAAAATATGTTATGCAGGTTGGAAAGGACCAATCCCGAGTGCCTGGTGCAGTTCTTGCCCCATAGAAGACCAAAGGATGCCTGCTTAGCTAGAGTCAAAAAGATATGAGCTGCTTTCATTTAAGTTCTGTAGAAAATAAAGCAAGGAGTTGTATCGTTTATTTGAGACTGATGCTTAGACCACAACTTATTCTAGTAATGTTTTATATTTCGGATTTTGTAATGAATTCATGCTTTGAACAATTTGGTTTGAGTAATATTATGCATTTATGCCACCTCCTTGAGAAAAAATTATTGCGTCGCAATTAAAATTTTGTTGTATAAAATTATGATGTATATGCTTATTCTAGAAATAATTAGATAAGATTATATCAAATCAAATACTAATTCCGTTACTTTTTAGATGTAACAAAAGGCAAACTCCTTTATTGCATGTAAAAAGTGATGGAGGTAGTATTTTTATTTGCGTTTATTTAACATAAAACATCTTTAATTCTGTAGTGAAGAGAAATTTGTATAAACTTTAACTTGTCTTTCTCGTTAACTCATCAAAGAATATATAAAGTTACAATATTCCTTCTTTCAGAAAAAAAAATAAAAAAATTACAATATTCCTAACCCTAGAAAAAAATGATATACTAGGAAACTAGGATAATCACCAAAATACATAATAATATCACGAATCTATATCCTAATAAATATACCACAAGATATTCTCAAAATATATTATAAGATATTATCTCAATACCCCCCTCAAGTTGCAGCATGTGGTTTAATTTAAAAATGCCCAACTTGAAAAGAAGAAAGTCAAATTGGGTTCTCCGAGAGCTTTTGCAAAAATGTCGGCAAGTTGAGAAGTCGAAACATGGGACGGAAAAATCAAGCCTTCATTAATCGCATCTCGAACAAAGTGACAACAACCTAATGTGCTTTGTTTGTTCACGAAAAAAAGGATTTTTTGCAATGTATAACGCTGTAGAACCTAAAAATGTCTCCCAAATCGAAACCCGATGATGAGAAAAACCTTCTATCGCCATTTGGTTCGAGTAGAGTATTGAAAAAAAGGAACACTTGATTCTTTCTTAGAAATCCATTCCATTTACATTTCCTATCATTTCACAAGCCATTCTAGCCATTTTAATAGCCCAAACACTTTTCATAGCCCAAAACCCACATATCTTAGCCCAATTTCATATTTTCATAACTACGGTCCCGAAACCGAGCAAATATGATTTTTGATCCTCATAATTTTTATCCAAATTAAATCTTACATGGTTGGATAACCCTTAAAATAATCTTTTTAATGATATATCATAAGCCCAATTCTAAGCTATAATGAAAAAGATATGATTGAAATACCAAATTCTATCCAAAACCGACACCCTTACACTATTTTGATCTAGAAAAGATATTGACTTGATGTTTCCAACGATATATTATTTGCCTTAATTCAAGTTCGGATCAAAAGTTATGATAAAAACAAAAACCGCAAAAACTGGAATTTCGCCGCGGCGCACCAAAAATGCTGCGACGCGGCAGACTTTGTCGCTTAGCAACATAAATGTTGTGACACGGCAATGGCTGATGTGGCATGGTGGTTTTGTGGTTTTGGCGATACAATTTCTATCTTTTTCCCGTTTTATTCCTGTACATACCGTAGCTTTTCAAAGGTTACATACACCTTTTTCTGCTCACCTTTACTCTAATACTTTTATTTGCTTAATCTTTCATCCTTCTAAACCTTTCAAAATTCCTCGTTCAAGTGTTCCTAGACATCAATGCTTCACACAAAGCTCTATCGGCGGTCCACGCGCGTGAAAGGTTGATCATAAACCCTGAGGGTTTCAATCTAAATTCAATTCAATTTGTTTTCTTTAATTTAATTTAGTTTATTTTGATTTATGTATTTTATTGAACTTTACTAACCGTTTATTCATGATATAGTTGCAAGGTTTCGCAATCGAAGTAAGTTGATTTAATAATTTATTTTTCTAATTAATTCTACAAAATTTGTTCTTGCTAGCATTTTTGCCGCGCAGCGTCACGCCGTATTCTAATTAATTCTACGAAGGATTTTGCCATGTTGCGGCATTTTTGGCGCGTCACGCCAGATTCCAGTTGTTTGCGCACTAGTGGAAAAAACATCATTTGCAGCGCGCCCAAAACCCAATATTTGCAACGTTTCGGCGCGCTGCATATTTGGCCGATGCAATTAATCCATATTATTTGCAGCGTGCAGAAAACGCTGCAAAAAAATATTACTTGCAGCGCACCCAAGTTGAGGGCGCTGCAAATAATCCAACTATTTGTTCTTCCGCGTTGCGACATTTTTGGCGCGTCACGCCGGATTCCAGTTTTTTGCGCACTAGTGGAAAAAACATCATTTGCAGTGCGCCAAAAACCCAGTATTTGCAGTGTTTCGGCGCGCTGAATATGTGGCCGATGCAATTAATCCATATTATTTGCAGCGTAATAGTTGGATTATTTGCAGCGCCCTCAGCTTGGGTGTGCTGCAAATAAATTTTTTTATTTTTCATTTTTTTGTTTTTTGTTACTAAAATAATTCCTACCTCAATTTAAAATAGACATATAGAAACAAAAGTAAAACAAACAATTTTGATGATTTTATTAAATAGCCAAAAATTAAGGTCATTACAAATAACCCCATTACATAGAGGAACCAAAGAATTCAACTAATGAATGGAAAACTCCTTGGTTATTAAGAATAACTCTAGTGTATTTCACTTTCACTTTCACTCTAGTTTGCTGAAATGCTGACGAGGCATCCTTCAAGTCTTCAGACACTCTTGGGGAGTTCATGGTGAGTCCACCATCAGATGAGTCACCTGAATGGAGCCCCCCTGATTCCCTCCTCGAGCTCTCTGGTTTAGGATTCGGTTCATCCCCGCTTGAGGTCCTGACCTTCACATCCTGTGGCTTCCCAGTTTCATCATCCGTTCTGAGTATTGAACCCCACTCAGTTGCCCTTTGCTCAGCCTTGGCAGTACTAGAACCTTTAGGTTTCGATTGATGATCATCCTCTTTTGCAATGGGAATTGCTGAGATGGTCAAGTAGACTTCTGGAGTCGGGTCAGGTAGAGCTATCCTGACTGATATTATACATCCAGCAATTAACCCAGCCTGACTGATAGATACACATCCATCCACGATATTATTAACTCATTTAATAGAGAATGAAAATTATAATATCATTCATGCTTATATTATGAAAACAGTATACAGACTTTAGGAAGAAGTTGCAATACCTTTTTCAGTATACCACTCAGGAAGAAGTCGCTCCCCTCCACTTCCAACATAGGTATGGAACCCAGGAAGTGTAGCAGTACCTATAAAACCCAATTCAAATTGTCAATAGCATATCCTGAAAATTTGTGACAACAGTCATATAACAAAGTAAATCCATTGATCAAACTTAGCTAGTGCTAGGCAGTGAAAAATCAGCAATTGTTTAATAGATGCATCAAAGTGTCAATGTGGATACCTTAGGATCTAGTGAAAGTGCATTATCCAAGATTAACACCGGTAGTTAATAGATAGAGCTTCAACTCGAGCAATAACTTAAACTGGACTGGCTTATCAGCAAAAATAACGTATAGTTGAAATTATTGTAAAATTGTTATATAGTGAATTTTATCTACTCACCTTTTGGAAAGAGGTAAGCCTTGCTGAGAGCGGTTTTTTCTGGGTTAGGGTTTTCTGTAAGGGGCAGAAAAGATGAAGTGGTATTTCTTTTGTAAAATATCACAATTATTTGTAGCACCCTATATAGGAAACGCTGTAAATAATTTTATTTACAGCGTTCTAGTAAAGTATGGAACGCTACAATAAATCCTCTTATTTGCAACGCGCTTTATGAGGGAGCGCTGCAAATAATTTTCTAGAAAATTTTAAAATTTTTTGCGATGCTATTAATTCATTAAATGGTTGACCTGCGTTGACTAACCATTATTTGCAGCGTTCTGTACATAGATTTGCAACAAATATTGCGCTGCAAATGACGTTTTTTCCACTAGTGGCGGTTTTTGGTTTAATCATAACTTTTGATACCAAACTCGGTTTGAGGAAAATAATATATAATTAGAAAGCTCTGGAAGTCTAATTTCCAACCCGATTGAAATCAGGTCAATATCATTTCTACATCAAAAGATACGGTCAAAATAATGCAAGGGTGTTGGTTTTGGATAGAGTTTGGTATTTCGATCATATCTTTTTCGTCATAGCTCGGAATTGGACTTATAATATATTATTGAAAATATTTTTTCAAGGGAAATTCAACAATTTAGGATTTGGATAAAAATTATGAGGCACGAAAATCAGATTTGCTCGACTTCGGGACTACAGTTATGAAAATAGAAAATTGGGCTAAGATATGTGGATTTTGGGCTATGAAAAGTTTTTGGGCCAATAAAATGGCTAGAATGGCATAAAAAATGATTTAAAAAAAATGGTATGGATTTATAAGAAAGAATCAAGTGTTCCTTTAATTTCTTTTAATACTTACTCGAACCAAATGGCGATGAAAGGTTTTACTCATCATCGGGTTTCAGTCGGGGAGACATTTTTAGGTGTCTACAAACTAAAATAAGTTTTAAAGTCTAATGAATACATATAAGTTCAAATAAGATCAGACAAGTTCAAATAAGTAAAAATCAAGTGAAAAGAAATAGTATAAGTAGTTTACAAATAAGGTCAAAGTTTCGTCAAATTTAAAAATCAATTCAAGTAAACTGTCCCTAGCCTTAAGTGACATTAGCATGGATGTCAGTCATCTTAACTGGTGTACATTATTTGGGGTGATAAAACATGTGTATTGAATCCATCCAAAAATTTAAAACTATAAGAATGTCATGCTTCCTAGATATCCAAAAAATTAAATACAGTTGGACAATTTGATATCTAACTTGATATCTCTTACATTTGTCTCCTTAACATATTCAAATTGAAATCTACCCACTAATTAAAAAAATTCAGTACTTAAGGAAAGAAATCAGGATAGAATCAAGCTAATCCTTAGGAAAAAATCAAACAAAAAAGGAAACAAATCAAGCCAAATGAATCATAAAATCAAGCTACCAATGAGGGAGCAACTAATAAACAAAAAAAAGGATAGAAAAAAGAAATAAAGAAATCAAACAAAACTAGCATACCACATAATCCTTGCTTCATCATCAATATAAAACCCCTACACTCTATTCATTTACATTCACAAAAACAATA